ACAATATGCATAAATTCCATGGAAATTATTTGTTTGATGTTCGGCTGAGTGTCTATTAATTCAAGATCAATAATATAATACAGTATGGATCCGATACTAACGTTTGATAGGAGCAAATTGAATTACTGCTGACCCAGTAAACACTAATCTGAAACATAGTGATTTTGCGTTCGACATTCATTGTTCAAAATAAAGCAATCTCGTTTTCAGGAAAGCTGCTAATTTCACTGAAAGCTGTGACAATAGATGAAATAAGAAATACATTTTTTAAAACAAGTTTTTATTTAACCCATAACCGCCGTAGTGCGGTCACTGAGACCGCAGCACATATTTATTTCTACATATCTTACCCCTCGCTACCTTCAAGTGACCACGTGGTCAGCTTGTCGCTAAAAGTTGAAGGTGGCACTTTTATCGGTTTACACTAGAAAAAGGACTAAAGTTACAGAGCGGCCACAGTGACCGTACTATGGTGTTTATGTTACTATATCTATTAAGATTTTTGTACAGCCAGTGTGATTTCCTGTCAACTTTGTGGATTATTTTTGGCAGCACAGATCCTCAAGAATGAATCGGAATTATACTACAGGGTTTCCCAATAGGGATGATACGATTTTGACAGCATACTGCCGCCATCTTAGTTGTCTATTTTCTGACTGCTGAGTTATTTTGTGTTCAGTAATTCAGTTATGGAAATCGTCTAAATATTCTATCAAAGTTCGAGAAGTTTTGTCGCTACTCAAAGAGCATATCGTGCTAAATACGGTCATTATGTTGCACCGTATCAGATCGATAAACGTTGCATAATTCAAAAACTGGAAAGTGAATATTCTTTGCACGATAGTAGACCACCAACTAGAATGCGATCTGGCCGTAGTTACTTGATATTTGTGGTGTAAATGCACATGTTCTTCATCAGTCGTTCAAAAATAGCACAAAGATCGAAAAAGCAGACTTTCTAAAAATTCTTGCTGACCAATTGGTAAGACCCCAACTTATTAGGCGTGCACAAAATACAAAACTCAAGCTAGACATTCGGACTACAATTCGTAGAATTCTATCAGTCCCTGACCGTGCTGAAGAGGATGTTCCGGAGGAAAAATTATAAAAAAAGAAAAACTTGACACACTTGTCCACCAAGAATTAAAAGGAAAACTTTATTTATGTAAAATGTGACATAAGTCTACTTGTTTCAAGAATTCGTTGAAAATTTGTGAAAATTTTAAACACAATCTTTGACTTCTTCACCCCTTGTATTTTTTTAATTCCTTTCAAGCAATCGCTCAACCTAAGTTATGTCTCAGTGGACAGTTTATTTATATTTTAGAATCTGTTACTAATTCCGCTTAGAATATTGTGTTTTATTTTATAACTAACTAAGATAAGGAATTGGTGAAAAAATGTGTTGAAATGAATGATGTTCGATGTTGTTATTTTTGCAAATGAAGTATGGTAAAAATTATATGTTATGTGTTACTTCAGGTCTCATTCCACTCTGCCTGAATATTTACATCACGCAAAATAGTTTATTTTTTGTAACTGAGATTGTTAGTAACGTGCGGTCACAGAGACCGCACTACGTTAACGACGTTACACTTTCTGCACTACGGTAGTTGAGGGTTAACTGTCCAGCTCGTAGATGGTATATTAGCTTGGAGAGCTGCATTTTCATCACATATCCATAATTTAGATATTTTTTAAAAGAGTATTCCAAAAATGATATTCAATAACCGAATATTTATTCCAATGACGAATTATACGCAGACTTACAAATGTATGATGTAAGACAACTTTATTTTTTACACACTATCACACACTACCATAAGTTTATCAACACTGATCAAAAAATTAAAAATAATCATTATACGTATACAAGGTACAACATTCATGGTACATTAATTCTTCAGCTACATTGATCTGTGTTGCAGCAAAACATTTCGGAAATTATTTTAAGAGAAATTTGAGTGATTACATTCTGTATCTAGGACCAGAAATTCATAAACTCATAAATACTAACACCAAGTAAATGCATAATCCACTGTAACTAATTCTTGCCCTTTTTTATAATTTATATTCTATAGTTACAGCTTGAAATTATTCGTCCACGCACAGGCAATGCCTCATATTGGGCCTGCTGTTATTTTATACTTATCAACTCATGCTGTTTTCTTGGTTCATTAAGTGAATAAATCTTATTATAGCTATAAAACAAACAAAAAATTTAATAGTATTTTTTGTCCGATTGGAAATTATTGAACGATAATGGAGCTCCTCCATCTCAAGTTTTCAAATAAAAGCATGTGACACCATTTTTCCACCCTACTGTCAAAATGGAGTATGCCTTCATTTGAAAACTTGAGATGAAAAAGTTTGATTATCGTTTAAATATTTCTAATCAGATAATAGTGTGTTTAAATTTTTAGTTCATTTATGAACAGCTAAATAAAAGCTTGTTTATTTTATATTTCCTTACTTTCCAATATTTATGATGTCAAACCACAAGTTTGCTAATTTATATACAGGGTGTTCCTTAATGATATGGGGATATTTAAGGGTGTGCACATACATGAAAAATTAATGTTAGTTTGCTTTATAAACTTTGGTCCAAAAATGTTTCCTTAACTGGGTATTGAAGTTTTAGGAAAAAAATGGAAATTAATTAATATTTTCAGATCCACTTCAGATATTTCACTGATACATTAGGGGTAATGAACAATAACAACTGACAACATAAACATAACATTAAAACCAACGAAATGATTACAAAAATTGTTGAAAATGGCCCCCTTCACTTAGTATGCATGCTTCCGCCCTCCTTCTCATGGAATTGCGTACTCGTTGAAATATCCCTGGACTGTTTTTTATTCTATCACAAGCTACAACTATTCTTTCTCTTAATTCCTCTACAGTGTTAATGGGACTTGTGTACACTAGTGGCTTAAGATAGCCCCACAAAAAGAAATCTAAACTGTTGAGGTCTGGGGACCTTGGTGGCCATTCTTGGGGCCCATCGCGGTTAATCCAACGATTTGGATAAACAGTTTGTAAATAGTTACGAACCGCTACACTGAAATGCGCTGGTGCACCATCATGCATGCACCACATATTGTTTCTTATTAGTAACGGAACATCATAAAGCAGTAAAGGCAACTGTTGTTGAAGAAAATTGAGGAAAGTTTATCCGTCAAGTCGTCCCGGCAAGAAGAATGGGCCAATAAAGTGGTTGCCAATAATTCCTGCCCATACGTTAACCGAAAATTGTTGTTGGAAATGGGTTTCGGTTACGGCATAGGGATTTTCTTCTACCCACAAATGATTATTGTGGAAATTCTGAATGGCATTTCGAGAAAAATTAGCTTCGCCCGTGAACAGCATCATTGATTCAAATTGCGGATTTTGTGTAATTTTTTGAAGATATCATTGACAAAAGTTCACACGCCTTGGAAAATCAATGGGAAATAACACCTGTACTGTTAAAATATGGTAAGGACATAACAAAAAATCCACTAAAATTCTCCAAACAATTTGATGGCAAATATTTAAGTGTCTAGCGATCTTCCTCGTACTCGTTGGTTTGACGATCTGGTAAAGCACGATCGGGGTATCTCTGGTGATAAATCCGTTTGGCTTGCTCGCCATTACCGTCGGCAAGTCCACATACGTCATTTACGCTATTTCTGTATTTGAATAATAATTCACCATTAATAACAAGATTGTAAAAACTAAATAATGAAAAAGGTTTCACATCGAACAGATTTGAATAACAGAGACTTGTCAGATATCAAAAGCCAGTGATATATTTCAGAGCAACTAGATATTTATTATAATTATTATTACATTAATTTTTTCGGACAATAGATCGGTTTTTATTTTTTTTAGTCAAAAATGGCGCATCGAAAGAAAGCAACTCAAGAAAGATCATGTGTTTTAAATTGAACAGGGAATCCAAAAATGATTTTTATTTGACAAAAAACCATTGGCGTACCATTTTTTCTTAAAAAATATCGAAGTCAATGCTTGTACACACACCACTGTTAAAGCTAAACATTATTTTTTTCATTGAAAATTATGTAACTTTATTAACTTTCACTACGTACAGTGAAATAGCTGAAGCGGTTCTGAAAATATAATTAATTTCCATTTTTTCCTAAAACTTCAACACCCCAACTTTTTGTAAGGAAACATTTTTGCACCATAGTTTATGAAGCAAACTAACATTAATTTTTCATGTAGATTCACACCCTTAAATATTCGCATATCATTAAGGAACATCCTGTACTTTCATGTTTTATTAACAGGACCCCATAAAACTTCTCACTTCATTTGTATTGTAATATTCCGACAGATGTAAATCATATAATGATAAATGGTGACAGTGGAAATTATAAATCGTCGCCGCCATATTGGATCTAGAATGACCCCACTTCGTCTATTGTGTTCCTCTCACCAAACCCTTCCATTTGATACCCATATCATATGGAAATGGTGATTCGCCATTTTGTTGCATCCGCCATATTTGACACAAAATGGCGACAGTTAGTTCATTTTTAAAATTTTTTTGATTCTAATTTCCGAATCTGGGTTCCGCCTAAAGCTTGAGTACTCTAGTTTCAGAAAACCGTGTATAACTAGAATATCGTTTTTCTTAAACTGGCATTTTATGTCCTATCTTGGAAAGCAGATTTTAGAGCAAAACCAAAAAGGACCTTTATACTCGATTTATATATATATCATTGCTCTGATCGATGACTTAGTCGCCATCAGCTGTTTTGCGGGCGCCATGTTTTCGGTTTGAACAGTCTATCCCTCTCTAATTTATTTGCCTTGTCTTACTGACTCTTCTTGCTATAACTGCTCTTTGACGTATCTAAACTATTGATGTACATGTGTAAAAGTAGTTGTACAATAACAGCTTGGATAGCTGTATGTTTTGATAAACGCGGCAAATGTGAGAGTGGTCCCAACAGGGCGATTCAGTATCATTTGAAAGTTATACTCACGTGACCATACGCCTAGGATACTTTGGTAGAACAGTATTATCCGTAAGTACGGTGGCCATCTGCAATCGAAATGAGGGGATAGTTAAGAATAGTGCAGTTAATTATTTATCTGTGGTTAAGAAACTGGAAGGTGACTACACAGTTTTACCACTCATCAAGCCGGGCATGAGTTTCGTATGTTAGCATCTGCGGGGAAGACTAACAATCAGGTAAAAGCGGCTTGGAGAGTGGTAAAGATGTGTAGTAATCATACTCGCTAAGACAAAGGGTCGAACATCATATAAAGGGTGACTTACAAGTCGTGACCAAAAATAAAACATCATATACGATTTTCCGAATCTGCTAGCACGCTTATGTGCCACTATTTAACTAACAGAACACAATATGTAGAAACAGATAAAAGTATGTCCTCCAAAGTTGTCACCCCATCGGGTATTCCACAAGGCTCCATTTTAGGACCTCTGAATTTTAGTATTTATACCTCAAACCTTTCCCAATATCTCTGAAGTTGTCGGGAACATTTGTATGCTGACGAAACCAGGTTTATTTTTTTTTCAATCCTAACGAGAAACGTGATGCATTGGCCATTATTAATCGAGGTATTGAAAGATTAGTTGTATTTTCGGAAAATCATGGTCTACAGATTAATGCAAGCAAATCACAACTCATGTTATTTGGCAGATTGAAAGACAGTATTGAGCCCACTTTTCATGTCAAAATAAAAAGTGAATCTATACCTTGTTCTGCCACTGTGAGAAATTTTTGAGTAGAATTTGACTCATATGTCAAGCCTCATATTAATAAATGTATTCAGAAAGCTTATGATTCTCTAAAAGTTCTATATGCTCATCGATATGTCCTCCTGTTAAACTTAAAATATTGCTAGTACTCAGCCATTTTCATTTTTGTAACAGCGTTTATGGGTTTTGTTTAGACACGATTGACATGGATAGAATTGAACGTGTACAGAAGTCTTGTCTACGATTTATTTATGGTATACGTAAGTTTGAAAGAGTTTCACATAAGTTCCGTGAAACTCTGCATCCAAACCAGTTTTTGGATGTGTACAATACTTAGGTAAATCCACATACCAAATTTTAGTTCGTTCCAGATGACGTTTTGGAAATATTAAAAAAAATCTGTTTTTTATTTTTAAACTTCATCTATCTTCTTAACGAAGCCCTCGAAGAAAAAATGTTACATATTTGTAGAAGACCCCTCTTAAAATGCGGTCCTGTGTAAAGTATTTCATTTTTGGTCACGACTTGTGAATCACCCTGTATAAAGTAATAGATGGTAAATGAAGGTGTATCTCTGGTTGTGTGATATGCAGACGATTGTTAGTTATAGAAGGTGATATGTACCAGTGATTCCCATGGTGGTCCAGGTGGACCCCAGGCGTCCACGGGATTCTCAACGGGGGTCTTCGTTGTTGTGAAAAGGTATTAGGTATAAGAAAATATTTTTCTTTTACTTTAACAATGTGAGCATTTGTAACGTTAGATCTAATCTTTAAACTTTTTGACGAGCTTTTGGGATATTGTAGGAATATAACAGGGTAAAGGGGGTTCCACAGAAACTAGCTTTTAGAGTGAGCTGTGAGAAAAAAGTTTGGGAACCTCTGGTCTATATGAATGCTTACCATAAGTAAAATTCATGAGCAGGAAAGAGAAATCATATAATTTAGTGATTTGAGTAAGACACTAGCTTAGTATTATACTATCTTACTTAACTGTACATATTCGACCCTCATTTTCCCCAAATCGTTTTAATTTTTCCTAACCTTATGTGTAGTGGGATTTCAAAATGAATTCAAAATAAACATTGCCACTTTGGCTCCTCTACAGGATGGCATAATTAGAATTTCAATATGCCGTTTCATCTCTTGTCCTCCAGCATCAACTTTATTTTTTCTTATGGACGCCATATTGGATATTTGCACAGATTAATAGTTTTTAATTGTGATTCCAATAATATTTAACATGTCATACGTCGATGTTGCCAAATCTTAGTAATTTCAATCAATGCAGAATTTCCTAGGTAGGCCTTGACATAATCAGACAGTCATTTTCTTTGTCTACTCCAAAATTTATTTTTTTTTCATGACTTTATTTGAGATGGGATTTCAAAATAAATTGCATATAAACATTGCCACTTTTTCTCTTCTACAAATTGGCATACTTATTATTTCAATACGAGGTTTCGGCCTCCAGCTTATAAATCTGTTTTCAGAAATATATAATGTGTCATACATTTTGACACTGCCAAACCTTAGTTACTCCAGAAAAACAGAAGTTCCTAGCTAAGCCTTGAAATTACCAGCTTATTAGATTTCATTTGTTTTGTATACCAGACCAGACCTCAAATTGAAGATAGATAGAGTTTGGAAGACAGAAGAAGAAAAATAAATCGAGCAGTACATAATGTACAGAGAAAGGTCAGACTTTGCCTACAAAATAACCTACAACATTTTGAACATGTGCTACTATTTATTTCTGCTTATTTATGATTATTATTTTTACCACCATCAACACAATTTTCATTTTGTGTTCAAGTTTGGCCATACCTTTTAATTTCCTTATAATTTTCATCCAACCACAAATAAACGGCCAACTAAGGAAATGTGTCATCGAATTTAGGACTGAAAAGTCCATTTAAATGTACAAAATTCCAATATAGTGTCCATATGGAAAAACAAAATTGGTGAATGAAGTCGAAAGAAGAAATGTCGAATAAATAACAATGACAACATGCAATTTATTTTGAAATCTCATCGCGATAAAGTCAGGAAAACATAAAAGTGTTTTTGGGATAAATCTGGTATGATAATTACAAGGTCAACTAAGGAAATTCTGTTTTTTTAATAACTAAGGTTTAGCAATGTCAATGTACGACATATTATACATTTTTGGAAACAGATTTAAAAACTCTATTCATCTGTGCAAAAATCCAGTAAGAAAAAAATAAAGTTGATGCTGGAGGGCAAGAGACGAAACGCCATATTGTAATTCTAATTATACCTTCTTGCAGAGAAGAAAAAGTGGCAATGTTGACGCGCACTTTATTTTGAAATGTCACTATCTCACTATTTGTATACAGCCAGAAAGAATAAAATTGTTTTTGGGAAAATTCGGTTTTTACGTCTCTCGCCGGAAGTACTTTGAATTTCGAAACTTTCTAAGCGCCATTTTGTTGATAACATAAATACCCAACTTTGCCCCTATTTAAGCGACTTTGTATCTCTTACAGTTTCCGATGGTGAGGGTCGAATTTGAAATACCCTGTATACATAGATGCCATTCGCATTTTATGTTCGATGCCTAATCTATTCATAGAAAGGTATGCAACCATATCTTCAACAGTGGTCTAAAACTGATGATGTTTACATATAAAAAAACTATTTTTGATAGCATTCGTGTCTCCAAAATTAGGTAAGTAGGAACATGATACATAGTTATATATTTTTAACAGATACGTGATCAGATGAATTTAAGAATATTGCTTTCGTCTATCCGACTAACCAAGGGTCAACTACATTTGTCGGGATTGTTCCGACATTTCATAATGTCGACCAGAGTTCCGGCAAAGTACAAATTGTCCCAAAAACAATTTTAAAATTAGGGAGAATGAAAATTAGAATCCCAGTAAACAATGTTTATGGTGGAAAGGCATATACGTTTATTAAGTAACTTGTATACTAAAGATAGTCAAGATTGACTTCACTCTGCTTCAGAGGTAGTTCTCCTCTCCAATGCCCATAATGCTCAAAGAAGACGGATTCAGCAGGTCGTGCGGTTAAAGCCTTCGCTATTACTCAAGGACTGACTCAGCTGGTGGCGAGCCCTCCTTTTCCTCCGCGTTTCGTCATACGCCAGTAGTCTACTGGATCTCTTTCTGAACACGCATCATGTCTCTTACAGCACTGCTGTCTTGTCTCCCCTGGGTAACTCAGACCGGTTGTGGCATCAGAAACTCGCCCAGGATGCAACATTTGGTTCTCCACCTTTCTTTGGAGACGTTTGTCTTACTGACTCAGATACGTCGATTGTGTGTTCATCAATAACCGAATTTATTCATGCTGTAATGGAGGAATACATCCCTCATACACTGAAGGTCCCAAAGCAACGACTCGTCGGCAGAAGATCAACGCACACAGAACCTTCTTACATAACTCTACTATAGAGAACAGACAAACTGATGCCGATGTAAGAATTAGCATAGCAAGTAGGTTAAAGAGAACTTCTCAAAGATTAGCCTTCCATCGCTTACGTACCAGGATGGAATGACTGTAACCGATGAAAAGACTGAGGCGGAAGTGTTTGCCAAGATTTTGCTGCCAATTCTACCATGGACGTCCCCTGAACGCCCGAGTGCCGTCAATTTAAAGTTCCTTGAACGTCACGGCTTGATTATTGACAGGTGGTATGGTTTCCAACACCACCGATCCACGGGGGATCCCCTTAGCTTACATCGCGCAACTGTGGAGCAGACTCATCCGCATGGATATCATGTAAAAAACCTATAAAACGCCAAAAAACCTATAGGATGTCATCTTGCAAACTAGGTAGGTTTTAGGGCGCAAACAGTCATTCCACGTTTGCTCACTAGGATCGTTGTCAACGTCCATCTATGGAGGAATCATTCAACTAAACTACACGCATTATTGGTTGCATATGTTTTATGGGGCCAAATGGTCCTTGTCTGTAGTTTTTATCTCTGAGAAGAAAGTTGGTTGAATGGCAAGATCGCGTCTGGATGATTATGTGTATTGGTCTGCCTGTGTATAAAATCAGTGATATTTGCTGTGTGAGAAAATCATTACTGAATATGCTGCCAATGAAGTATATCTATTGGCTGTGCCCGACGGGTTATTTTTATGTTGTGCTTTCTGAAGAGAGGTTATGTTCAAAGTTATAAATTACAAAAAACTGACGAGAATTACGGGAAATCATCACCGCGCCCGCGTTGTGTGTAATTACTGTTAGCATGTATATGGCTTGTAATTCGACAGTGTACAGTGAATATATACGTAATTATTTCTTATCTCTCTCATTTTTTA